ACTAGACATGACTCTAGCCAAAGGATACCTATTACATCAAAGCGCGGTAATAGCGATATTAACTATAATTTTACTGCTTTGTCATATTTTTTGGACTTAAGTTTGTCACACAGCTATCAAATCCATAATTATCATGCTTTTTCATTCGTTCGTCGTAAATAAAGGCTATGTCATAGTAGCAAAATGAAACGAAGTTAAAGTTATACTTACTAGAGGAGTTAGGCGGTCGCTCTGCAGGTTTGGTTCCCAGAAAAGAATATAGAACTTCTGATTGAAAAATAACAGCTATACTACGAAAATTATGTACTTACTTTACAAAAACTAATATGAGTACATATGTACATAGTGATCATTATGGACAAATAAATAGAGAAAATTAAACATTATATATTTTATTGAATATACCTATAGATATATTATATTATATTATTACAATATTATTATATTTATCTTTATTTATATATTTTAATGTTATTTCATGATAATACATATTTTTCTGCTGACGATGAATCTGCAAGTGCCTCCAGCTATGATAGTTTTTCTTCTGCTGCTGACAATTTGGGTGATTTTCTTGGTCGAACCTTCTGTAAATCTTCTAGTTTATTGAATGTATGTCATATCAATGCCCAAAGTGTTCCTTGTCACTACAATGAACTGCTTGATGTGTTTTCCGGACCGAATGTCCACGCTATTCTGATCTCTGAGTCTTGGCTGAAACCGCATCTCGATTCGTCGACCTATTCACTTCCCGACTTTATTCTCATCCGAAATGATCGAACCAAAACAGATGGTGGTGGAGTGGCCATATATTTGCGTAGCGTATTTACTTACAAAATAATAGCTTCTTCTAGTTCTGACTCATGTGCCGAATTTCTCTTCCTAGAAGTTGGAACTGGTCGTGACAGGGTAATTTTGGGTGTTGTTTATTGTCCCCCATCTATCAACTATTTCACCGAATTGGAAACGGTTTTGGAATCTTTGGGTTCTGAGTATGCTCATTACATCATCATGGGAGATTTCAATACCAATCTCCTTTTACCTAACTCTCCCCGATCCCGAAAGCTTCTGAATATAATTCAGTCATCCAGCCTTCAAATCCTGCCGCTTCAATCTACTCACCAAAACATAGGTGGTGACGACTCCTGGCTGGATTTAATCCTAATCTCGAATCCTTCCCTAGTATCCTCACACGGTCAACACATTGCTCCTGGATTTTCTCATCATGACCTTATTTTCCTTTCCTATCTCCTTAAACCTCCTAAATCTATTCCTAAGGTTCTGTATAGGCGCTCTTTTGCACGCCTAGATGTTGAAGAACTTCAAAAGGATGCTTCGTTAATTAATTGGGAGCCCCTAATAGAAGCGCCTTCAGTCGACGAAAAAGTTCGTATCTTTAATTGTATCGTTACAGAACTGTATAATACTCATGCTCCTGTTAAAAAAATTAAGTTAAAGAGGTTACCAGCTCCATGGATGACTAAAGGCATTCAAATGGCGATGAGGCGTAGGGATCGGGCGTTCCGTAATTTCAAGAAAGATCGTGGAGAAGAAAAGTGGGGTCTCTTCAAAGTCGCTAGAAATCGGTTAAACCAGATGATACGTAATGCAAAACGCCGCTACATCCTCAATAATATCTCTTCCTCTTCTCCTGCTGATATCTGGAAATTTCTTGGAACTCTAAGCATCGGCAAATCTCGTCATTTGGAACTGCTTACTTCGATCGAATTAAATGACTTAAATCGACATTTCTCAACTACGTCGAAGCTAGATCGGGCAACTACTACAGCTGCCATTGCTTCTATATCAGCTTTACCGCGTCTCAACATTCCCCTTTTTCACTTTTCACCATTCACATCGTCAGACATTAAAAAAATCGTCCTTTCCATTAAATCTAATGCTGTGGGGTGTGACAACATTAGTCGTCGCATGATAATTTTAATCTTGGATCACCTTCTCTCTGCAATTACACATATAATAAATTTCTCTCTTATTTCTGGAGTTTTCCCTTCTCTTTGGCGTAAAGCTTATGTCCGTCCTCTTCCTAAAGTCTCTAATCCAACTGACCCTAACCATTTCCGTCCCATCTCCATCCTTCCTTTCTTATCCAAAGTACTTGAGGCTTGCGTTCACCAACAATTTTCGCAGTTTGCCTACAAAAATTCTATACTGAATCCTCTGCAATCGGGTTTTAGACCAGGACATAGTACAATCACAGCTCTTCTCAAGGTAACTGGCGATGTTAGGGCAGGTATGGAGTATGGTAAAATTACTTGCTTGGTCCTCATCGATTTCTCCAATGCTTTTAACACTGTTAGCCATGATATCCTTCTCGCTATTCTATCTCACATTTTAGTGTCTGACGATGCGTTGAAGTGGTTCTCGTCCTATCTTCGGGAGCGCCAGCAGATGGTCCAGTCTGGTGAGTCTTCGTCATCCTGGTATAATCTGGAAACTGGTGTTCCTCAAGGCGGCATTCTTTCTCCTCTTCTTTTTTCCATTTTTATTAATTTTATCACTTGTAAACTTCAGTGTTCGTATCATCTGTACGCTGATGACTTGCAGCTATACACTCAGGCAAATGTTGATAGTTTAAACGATGCAATTGATGCTCTGAACAGAGACTTAATCTCTATAAAGTCTTGGTCGGAAATGTTTGGTGTTGCTGTCAACCCCACAAAATGTCAGGCTGTATTGGTGGGCGGCTCTCGAATGACAACTAGAATCAATAATTGCGATCTCCGTGCTTTGGTCTTCGATGGCGTTTCGATCCCATTTAGCCAAAATGTGAAAGATCTTGGGTTATTTATCGACTGTAACTTAAACTGGCAGGCCCAAGTAGCAAATGTTTCGAAAAAAGTTACTGGAGTGCTACGAGCTCTTTACCGCATGAAAAATTTCCTACCTATTAACATTAAGGCAATGCTAATGCAGACCCTAATATTTCCCATAATCGACTATGGTGATGTATGCTATCTCGACTTGAATGCAGATCTACTTAATAAACTTGACCGTCTTCTGAATAACTGCATTCGATTCGTTTACAATCTACGAAAGTATGATCATGTGTCTGAATACCGATCATTACTCAAATGGATGCCCATTCGGCAACGCAGGCAAATGCGAACTCTAACCACCCTTTTCTCATTACTAGATTCACATAATGCTCCTTCTTATCTTACTCCCCACTTTCAATACTTGTCCACAAGTCACACTAAAAATCTACGTTCTGCTTCTAACCGTTTGCTCATGTGTCCTTCTCATAGCTCTGATGTACTTCATTCTTCCTTCTTTATTAAATCTATTCTCCTATGGAACTCTCTTCCTTTAGACCTAAGAATGTCTACTAGTCGGTATGCGTTTAAAACTAAGTTACGCAGCTATCTTTTAGAGCAAGCAGATTCCTTTAATGGTTAATCGTGTATGTATGTATGTTTCTATGTACAATATTATATAGTATGTATCTTAAAGTATATATATTAATTAGGTTGTCTAGTTTAGTATATTCTTATAATTGTGCACCTGACCACGTATTCTTCTCCACATTACCTTAAGGTTGACTGGCAGAAAATGCCGCAGACATTAAGTCCGCCTATGTACATTTGTGCATAAAGTATAAATAAATAAATAAATAAACATTACCATGGATTTGGTCGGTGACCTAATGGTTATGAAAGTACAATATCCCTATTTCGCTATCGGGCTTTTTTTTATTTACATAGCCTAGTTGACTACTTTTTTTTATATATATTCCATTAATATCTGAAAAATTATGTCAAAGTAACAGCATGTCAGTTATGAATAGTTTTGGCGATATGGTGCTACATTTGTGGAACTGCTGCTAGTCAGTCGAAAGCACTTCCTACAAATTCAAGCCGCGAAGTAATTTCAATGTAACGCCTTGCTACGTTATTTAGCGAAAAACGTATGGATGTGTTGATTGTGCGTTCATGTTTAGTTGACATAATAGAAGTTGCTACGTTTTTTGTAAATAATTTAGTGTCATATTTATTTGAGCATTTTTTTGGAAAAACCTGTATTTTCACATAAATACACTGTAAATAATGTAAGACACAACCCTACATTATTAACAGGATTTTAAAATTTTAAAAACAGGTTTGGAATGGTTTTACTTTCTTAAATTTTTCCAAATGCATATTCCCAAAATGTATCCTAAAAATTATTATACTTTATTCTCAAACTACTAGTAACGCCATCCATTGCCATATAAGTAAATTAAATTAGGCCTAGTTATTGTAGCGTTGTTAGTTTTTACTAGATAGCAGTCTCTTTTCTTTAATTTGTATTCTTTCTTATCTTTCCAAATGTATATTCGAAAAATATATCTTAAAAATGCATTATTTATAATCCTTCGATAATGCGAAGTTATAATCTCAACACTACGAGTGACGCCATCTGTTGTCATTTAAGTAAACTAAGGTCGGCTTAGTTTTTTGAGCGTTATTAGTATGCTTTAGCATCGACCTAGGATGAAATCTAGATAAATGCTCATAATGAGGAAGTATTTAAAAAAAGAAAGAACTAAAAAAGCACCTCACTAGATGACGACGACTAGCCCTCATCCGCTCTACTCATTCTTTGATCCAAACATTCGCATTCATCGATTATTCGTCTTAAAGACTAGTCTTTTACTAGAAAAGACTAGTTGTTTTAGTTAATAGAAATCAATTAGTTTGATAATAGATTTTCTTATTCCAAATATTCTTTTTGTATCTAGTAAATTCGACTTTTAAACAAGAAAATCGAAATTAGATTAGTCCTGTTTCGTGAAGAATGCCTTTTACTATAGTTTTTGTTTATTTTTTAATTTGAAACACTTAATTTATTATTCATATTCTATCTAGTAAATACGCCTCACCTCTAGCAAAAAAAGTACTAATAAATAAATAATACTGCACCCAGCATTCCAGTAAGGGTTGCAGTCACTCGCTCTTTATTCGAATTTGTCATAGACAATATTAACTTTTGCAAGTAATTTTTTTGTCTATAGTCAATGTTTGAGTGATTTGTCTGCAATAGTAAATGTCATTCAGTATTTTTTGAGCTCAATAAAATCGAGATGGCAGAAAACAGAGAGGAAATTCTTGCAAATTTTCAAGTAAGTCCCTATTGGTTTATTTTGTATAATACAATTAATATTCAAACCTCGATAAATAGATTTTGTAAAGGTTATGTCGTGAATATCAACAGTGACTAGGAAATCTTCTTTATCTCTTTGTACTTTTGAGTTGCACCCAAATACGTGGTGTTTTCTTGGAAATCGTTGAATATTCTTTTGCTTTACTGAAGCTATTTCGTGTGACATAAAAATAATATGGCATTATTACTTTGACCATAACTTCCTTTACGTATAAGTTCTTTGTGTGCATTTTTTTAAAGTTGATGCGAAGTCACTGCATTAAAGGTTTATGGCGATAACTTTCTGCGTAATATAATCATGAGTACTACGTCCTTAAAGGTATAAGTTTAGATAAACATATAATTCTAGTTTAAATAACAAAGAGAATTATTTTTCACAGGGAATAACAGCTATAGAAGATGTTGCAGAAGCAATATATCACTTAGAAGAAGCGAACTGGGACTTGCTTGTAAGTATATTCCCGTTTATATTTACTGTTTAATGTTTTTTGGAAAGTTTATATTACAATGTATAGATAAACCTGTGCTTGTTTCCTATGCTATATATTTCACTGATAATGAACAGAATAGATAGGGTATTTAGTAAATAAGTATCGTTAAAAAGCAATTATTAGTATAATAAACAATGCATTATAATGATTTCCATAAAATTATATGAAATATATGGAAAAATTTTAATGACTTATCATTCACAAACATCATTATAATTGTCATAATTTTGAACAGACATTACTGGTACAAATTTTCAAATTTGGAACATTCATTAGAGCTTCAAGCCATCATTAAACCTTAATAAGGGTTAGTTCAACTGGGTGTAAGTGCTTATAAATTAAATTACATCAAAAAACCAATTGCCAATTTTATTCTCTATCACTGAAGGATGAAAAAAATACAATTATGTCAGTACTATTATATGTTTAACTTAAAAATGGCTTGTTATTCTAAAATAAATATTTATTGGAATCTCAATTTTAAAACTAGTGAAATACTGATATGACAAAAAGGTAAATTATCGCTTCTGATTGTGCAATATTATTCATTCTTTCATTTTACTGACAAATCTTCCAGGATGATATAAATCAGCTTGACTAGTTGTATTCTGTTGTGGGAAAATGCTGTAATTTCAACTTAAATAAGAACATTGAACATTCAAGAGTCATAAAGTTTAATAGTATAACTTTTTGACTCTTGAATGTTGTAAAACAGATGCTGATTACTGAATATCAATCAAATATTTGGTGCATCTGTAATGAAAATGTTTGATGGATCAAAGTGTTCACTATGTTTTATATGAATTACATTCTATTTTAGTTTTGTATTATAATATTTATAACTACAATTATGATAATAACTTATTTTGAAAGAATAGTTGAAATATTTTTTGTCATATAACAAAAAAAAATGTCAACTATACCAGTATATTAAGAAAGGTCACTATAAAAAGTCTGAACTATAAGCCATATGAAGATCTGTTCTTCCGTTTGGGAATTGATCCTGGATGGTTTTAAAAATAGGACTTACATTATTTCTACTTAAATGCTGATTGTGTAAATGTGCAGGTATTATGAGATATAATGTCTGTTGTATACATTATTCACACCTGTTATATTGTGTTAACAAAAAATATTGTTCCCATTGTGCAAACTATGATAACAGTAATAAATTCCATTAATGAAAATTTGCCAACAGGCTGCCATCAACCGAGTAATGCCACAAGATGGTAGTAACTCAGTTTCCAGAAGCAATGACAACCATGATATTGATATGATAGATGATGATATATCTGTGATAACACCAAAAACACACCCACCAGGTAAATATAAATATATTTTTTAATCATCTGTTCCTTATTTGTAACTTTTGCTATTTAGGTAACAATAACTTTTTACAGGGGCTTATTATATTAATAAATTCAGCTTCCATATTTTTGTGTGTACTGCTGCACTCAGAGATATTATTTAACTCAATTTGATATTGAACAAAATCAGTATATTAAAATAAAGTGAATTTTTAATAGAATTTAATTTTAACCAAATTATAATTTGATGTCTGTACGGTAGTCAAACTTACATTATCGGTTTATAAATTGATTTGAAACATATTACACAATAATGCAGTGTAAGTATGAAAATGAAAATCTTTATTACAATATTTACCAGATAACATATACATATCCTGGCTCATGAATTTAAGAAACTTGTGTCACAGAAGTTCCTTCAGCTAGTTCCTTCCTAAAATGACAAACCTTTGTTGGTATTGTTGATTAAGTCAATAAAACTAACAATTAATAAAAAAAATACAAAATTAGGTTACATTTACAAATGTGTGTTTGGGTGTGGGTGTGTGTGGGGGGGGGGGGTTGCGTGTGTGTAATATTATATTTATTTTATCATAGGTATATGAAAGATCTGTATTTTTAACATATATCAGCTAAAGCATGTCAAGCTCCTCAGATTTTAACTAATAATTTCTTAGATACTGGAATATCAAATATTTAATCAGATCAACTTTACATCGACAATGATGTAGTGTTATTTTCCTAATATGTGAATGCTATTTCAAATATTTCCACAGATAGAGAAGACGGTAATCAAGCGTCAACCTCATCACCTAGAAATAGCGCCACTGATCTACTAGAGTTCCAAGTACACTATAATAATAAAATGCATGACATCAAAATGTCTCCAGTGGCGACAGTCAGTGAGTATAATTTTAATATCTGAAAAATTAAACATTATTATATTGCAGGGTTTGGAGTGATAATTATCATTGATTATTAACTCTTGTACTTATTAAAGGAGATTTATCTTTAAGGAACTATTAAATGTTTTTCTTATAGAGAAAATTGTCTAGGATGGACTACAAAAACAAAAAATATATTAAAAGCCCCCTTTAAAAAATATTTAAGTTTCACTTTTTGTTCAATGTGTTTTCTCAGTTTTTTTTTTTTTTTTTGTTTGTATAATATTTAAACTTAAAAAAATAAAAATATTGTTTCATGTTAGTGTTATAATATAGATTGTATATATCAGCTATATTTTTCTGTAATAAAATCGGCCACGAACTAGTTGTGGAGCACAGTTCTTCAATGGAATAAAACTTTTTCACTTTTTGAAGTACGTATTATTTAATAATGCTGAATCCTTGCTGGATGCTGGACTCTCTTCCTCCTTACAGTCCCATGTGGTTGAAAAGCCCAGATTTGAGGCTCTTGTTAACAAGATGGTTAAGGTATTAGGTATATAACTAATTTTGTTAATGCAGGGGAAATACTGTGAGAGCTCTATGCTCAACGTCGAGATCGTCGATGATTTGTGACACATGCAAAAGTAATTCAATTTAAATCACGTTAGAGTCTTATGACTTGATCATTATCTACTATTTCTATACCTTTTGTGGCTAACTTCAGATTACAGAGAATCTGGGATGAAAATTTGACAATATTAAGTATAGATTGGCTACTTGACTGTCTTAAGACAAGTATGAATTTAGCATATGATCATATTATATTATCAGATTTATATTACTCTAAAATGTGTAATTAAATAAAGAAAAAACCTTTTTATTCATTTTTTTAATACAAACATTCACGTGATATGTCGAGCGGTGACGTCGCATTTTAATAAAAAAAGGTACTGGTTGCCCTCGTAACAAAGACGTTTACGTTTAGTTCATTGGAATGTGACGTCACACGTTGCTCCGTCATGGCCGTCCGCGTTTTACTCTTATAATCGCAAGTTGATTTGCAAAACTGAAATTACAATTTATTTAAAAAAAAAATACAACGTAGTTATTGTTTACATGATTTATTAGTTTTCATTTCCAAGATATTTCATAATTTATTTTCATTAGTAGACAATTGTGTAATTTGTTTTTAATCCTTACAATTAATGTCTAGGCGATTTAAAGAAACGGTTAGAGTCAGTGTGTGGAGTACCAATATGCCGGCAGCAGATATCTGGTCTGGGTGGCTCCAAGGCTACATCAGGAGCTCTGCTAGGCCACCTGGCCCTTCCACGTAACGCTGTGCTACGACTGAAGGCCGCAGATCAGCTGATGGCCGATGATGAGTAAGTCACAGTTTTACATATTTTATGATTTAATCTATATTAGATTTCAAATTTGGAGAGTACATTGGTTTTAGTGTGTTATACTACAAACGGATTGTTGTACTACAAACGGATTTTTGGTGATCTTAATCCAGGTCACACACTATAAAAGATACAGTTAATTCCTTCTATAAATATTAAATCAAAGGGAGCAATCACTTTTCTTGTCGGAGTTTGTTTCACCATTCTTCTCAAACTCCCAAATTTGGAACTGGTAGTAGCTAATAGTATTGTTTTGAAGGTAGCTATACTTTTAATTAAAAAACACAATCGACATCTAAGTCTTAAGTAAACACGGAACCAGTAAAGATCCTAAACGTCATAAAGGCACATATAAACGAAATCATTTAAAGTTGTTATGAGCACTAAAGTTGTTTCAAATTTAATTTATATTTGTTTCTAGGGTTGCGGAAAGACTAACCAACACATATGTATTGCACGTTAAACACGACGACAAAGATTATACACTAAAGTTTCCAGGAACAAAGACAGTACAAGAAGTCAAGAATGACATATACTCGCTCACCGATATACCAGTACGACACCAGGTATATATCCAGGCTCTTATATACTTATTTTTTTAACCAGTCATTTTAATTAATTTTAAAAAATTTACAGATTATGTTGTGTGACTTATGACTTATCAAAAGGAAGTTTTATTGTGAGAAATATGTTTTTTTATATTTGTTTCTTTTTTAGGGTTCCGTATCAAAAAGGTAAAAAACGGGACCCTATTACCAAGACATGCTGTCCATCGATTCGTTGTATCTGTCTATTACCAGGCCGTATCTTTTGAACTGATAGTTGGACAGTTCAAGTTTTCACACATGATGTACATATTTCTCTTGCTGCTTTAACAAATAAAATTAAAAAACAGAAAGAAAGAAGTATTTATGCGTCCCAATCTCTAGTCGCATACAACAAACGTAATTTTACAAATTAATTGTTTTCAAACTTATATCCGAGATAATGTTTATTCTTTTCTTGATCTTTTTATTTGTTAGTTTATTTATATGGGTTTATTGTATTTGTCGTCAGTCGTGGACTGGTTGGCCGACTGTAACCGGATTAGACGATACTGTACTGGCGATGGTGGGACTCGATCAACCTCAACATGAACTAACAGTGAAACGGATGCCACACGCCAAACAGAAGGAGTATAAACGAGTAAGATTATTGTATAACGCTATTCTACTAATTATAATTGATCATAATAAAACAAGAAAACGTGTTCATTTTTCCGAAATATTTGTTTTATAATTTTTTAAATTAAAATAAACATGTACAAGTATTTAAACAGAGCAAAATGCTTTATTACGTTAATTTTATGAGCATATATTGCCAACACAAAACTAGTTTTTTAATAATGGTAAATGAAACGCTCGCATTGACTATCTTATTTAAAAGCAATAAAGATAAAATAAGTAATGTAACCTTGGATATTGTTGATGATGAGTATTTGTGTGTTGCTACAGATAATAGTGGAGAGTTCTGACAGTGATAACAGCTCGGTGGAAGAAGTGGAAGAGGTTGGTGATGGATTCACCGGTGAAGATGACATGTTTGTTGACCTTGTGCAGTCGGAGAGACTTCAGCCACTGAGTAAGAAATTATTACATCATTTTCAGAATTTTTACTTTACTTTGTTTCTAGGCAATTCAATCGATTGAAACAATGAAAACTATCAATTAGTACAGAACCATTTACAATCATAAATAAAACTGATATTTTAATTTTAAAAAATCACGTTTTTAATCAACCTGAGGGGGTTAGGGTTCCGTACCCAATGGCTAAAGTGGGACCTTATTACTAAGAGTCCACTGTCTACAGGTTGTCTGTCTGTCTTCAGGCTGTATCTCATGAACTGTGTTAGTTAGACAGTGATAAATTTTCATAGATGATGTATTTGTGTTCCCGCTATAACAATAATTGCCAAAAAATAATTAAATATTTAAGGTGACTGACTCCCTTACAACAAACATGTTTTTTTTATAGATAATATTTTCGTGCGCGAAGTGCTTTGTGCGCGAAGGGTTCCGTACTATTATCTTTCGCACTATCTATCGCTATCCGAGTCGCACTTGGCTGGTATTTTGTTTTCTTTGTTTAATATCAAAAGTAAATTTCAAATCATCCTCATATATAATATTCTTATGATCATGTTTGCTCATAACAGTGTCTGAACATGTGGAGGATGAAGCGTTGGGTTGTATAGAGTTTGCGCAACGTTTCAAAGCACGATATGGACCCAACACACCCAATTTCTTCGAGGGTACTCTTCAAGACGCCATCAAGGAAGCCTGTCTAAAACCTGCCAAAGAGGTAATAATAATAACATTTTAAAAAAATCAGTATAGCGTTAATTGCAATATTTATTAAATATGTTTTAACAGATAAAGTTAAAATCTACTTCTATATAATATTAGTATTGACAAGCATAACTTAAACAGGAGATTCATAAATATGTTCTTCGATATTTTTTATCGTCTTATATGTGAAATATACTTGTATAATGACATTACAATCCATAAAATCATGTTCATTATAATTACTCAAAATTAAAAAAAGAAGCACTTTAAAACTATTAAAAAACGTTTTATTTTTAAACAGAGAAAGCTACTTGGCTTGTATCTACATCACGAGCAATCCGTACTATCCAATGTATTCTGCGCTCAGCTGTTAGGATGTGAAGCTGTACTCCAAACCCTTTCTACAAACTTCATAGTCTACGGTTGGGATCTTACACACCCTGACAACAACTTGATGTGAGTAATCTAACACTTATAACATTGGAATAAGGTTCAAAGCATTAGTCGCAGTTCTAAACTATTTTTATTGCATCCTGTCAAACCTATACTTTTTTAAATAGTATATATAAATAAACAATTAGTCCAAATTATATATGTAATATTTAACACTCCCAAGTGGCTAACATTAATAATAGTGAAGCTCACTCTAGTACCGGGTTTAAAGCTTTACATTTCCTCTTCTGTCATTATCAATTTCTTTAGGCGGCCGTTTTAAATCAAATACAAACTTAAGTACTCGTTTTTATTTGGTTAAGACTGGTAACGTTTTGCAATCCTTTAGAACTTGTTAGATTGCTATAAGTAATTTTTCAAACTTTCAATTACGATGAAAATATGCTCTAATATTATAGCTAGATGTTATTTTTATCTTTCTCCAGAAGTGCATAAAAACGCCGGTTAAGGAAAGAATACAAGTTACTGATAAATTTATAAAGTAAAATTAATAACTAACAGTACTTTTTTGGGATTGGTGATTGAGAGAAACAATTCAATGCAGTGTTGTTATTTAAAAATATATATTATTGTTTTGTTTGTAGGTTATTAAGTTCTGTGTCAAACGCGCTTGGTACTGTGGCAGCCATGACCATACGCAGTATTCCGGTAGACAGATTACCTGCACTCGTCATCATAATGAGAGTCCGTTCTAACACGGAGATATACTCTGTTATAAATGGTGAGTTCACACAATATATTACATAAAAATCAGGAATCTATTTTGAAATTATTGTCCTTTTTTTAATAGGTAACTTAATTTACTGTGAGTTCTGGTTGAAAATATATAAAGAATTTTATTTCATAAAATTAAATATTGTGATGAGAATGATTAAAAAAATAGCTCTTTAAAATATGAGTCAACTATTTTATGTTTAATTGAGTATGCTACATTCGAAAGTCATAACAATATTTATTTATTTGTAAAAAGTAATTTTAATGATTGTCTTGACTGATAAAACAGCATATATTAATACAAGATTTAAAATAGGGTAGGTATATATATATAGTCATTCATAGAATACGAACAGCTTCACGGTACTAAATGGACATCATCACAAACAAAAACGTTGTTCTACATGTTTTCATTACATTTTTTAAGGCTACAATGTGAATCTTTAATAACTATGTAGGTATATCCATATGTAGGTATTTTTGTTATGTCGTCCATTTGTGTAAGAATAAAACATAGACTTATAAATGTTACAACAGTACAATAATTTTTATAAAAAATATTGAGTCGATAACATAACAACAATATAATCCATGAATTTAACATTCATGGATTATATTGTTGTTATGTTATCGCTAGCTATCTAGTCGTGTGACCCTGTATAATTGTAACTACTTAAAAAGGAATTCAACCTTTATTCTTAAAATAATAAAGACAATATTTGTGTAGGTAACGTTGGTGTATCGGAATTAGTGGGTGGTCTAATGGAAGCACTAGAGCGGTTTGCATCACAGAGGGATGAAGATGCAAGATTAGAGAGGGAGAGAGATGCAAGACAAAAGGTCAAGCGCGAACAGGATGAAGCATACCAACGCAGTCTTGAAGCAGATAGGTTTGTTTATGGTGTTTTAAAATACACATTATTTAACCACAAGACAAGACTAAAGAGATGGATTTTTATTTGATTGAACATTTTTAATATAACCATGACAAATTTTACAGTAGATTATTTCCATTTTTACAAGTAGCATCAGCAAATTACTAATTAAGTAAATAAGAATATCTTTGAAATCAGGACTTTTATTGCGTTAAGTTAAGATCTATCTTTGTATTCAATCTTCTAAAGTAATCTGCTCAGGTTTATCGGTGGAACAAATAAACTAGTGGTTACTGTACCCTTTTTTATATTTAAATATATTCAAAGTATGTTTTCATATACTATGTTAGAGGTTTCCCTAATTCACATTAAATATGTCGTTTTAGAGCTAAAGAAGAAATAAAGAAAAAGCAAGAGTTAGAACGGAATCAAGAATTGGAAAGAGCGGAATCAGAACGATTGATGGAAGAAGCGAAACAAGAGGTAAGCGTTACAATCTTTTCAAATTATAGATTGTATAGCGCAGGCGTTAGAACGTGCTTTCAAATTCAGTTATTAACAAAAAAAAAAATCGTGCCGTTTTAATTTGACTTGCACACGTCTAGTGTCCTACGCAAGTTTTAATGACGGGTTGCGGAGAAGTATATCACAAACATTTGTATTGCGATTCGCACATGTCGCTATTAATCCTTGCGTCCTTGACTTTAGTTTGATTTTTAATTAAATGGACTTAAATGACATTCAGTGAGTTGTCATTTTATCGTAAAAAAATATAAATTGTTATGGTCTAAATAATAGGAAGTGATTAGATATAAGAGTGCTACAGAGCGATTCGAAAATCCCAACCCGAATTCGAATTCACTCATGTGTCGGAATTCTCGTCATTGTGTGTATGAATTCTATTCTATTTATAAAAATACAAAACAAAATTGATTGATTATCCGTGTCTCAGATATTCTGTTCCAATGTCATTTCGAAACTCACTTCACTTATGCCACGAAACGTTAATACCAATTCAACGTTAAGCGGATGTCGCTTCCTCAGTGAATTAGAAGTCTAGTCCGGATTTTTAATGAATCGTAGGGCTGGTGTGTAAATAAAACACTTTTAATGCCCACATTATAACATCCCGTCGTTTTACGTCGAGGGTTAAAAATAGGTGTTCTGTCAAATTCGCTGTCGTTAAATTCAAACGTCATTAAATAAACAGAATTAAAACTTCATAGTTAACAGAAAAATATAAAAAGGTCGACGCAGCTGCCGGTCCTCCGCATGGGCGAATAGGGTATTCTGCTCTATTTAATATAACACTTATAACTGTTTATTTAATTTAAAAAAGCCATTAAACATATATTTCGGAAAAATAAACACATTTCTTGCCTTAAAATTTAATCAAAATTTACAAGAACAATGCGATCTTCGATCGATTACTAAATAAAAAACGCCATCTAGGAATTTGATTTATAATTAGTATCTTCATGTCTAATCTGACAGCTGCCACCAGTGACGTCACACAATGGCAGGTCATGTTTCAACTCACGTGACACACAGACAAAAAAAACACGACTTAATTTTTAGGATAATAAAGCTAATCGTGCGATTTTAGACGACGATTGTAAATATTTTCATTTTATAGATGAATAGTAGACATGATATAATCTAAAAATAAATTTGTTTTTAAAATTTCCCGAATTAACGCCACTTCTTTTGTGGCATCGCCATGACGTAATGGCACTCGGAAACGATTATCTTTCTATGTATGGATAAGGTTGAATTCTCTAAGTTCTTATATGATAACATCACGCGCTGTTTGCGGTCACGAGCATAAAATATTTGTTTCATAATTAATTTATTATTATAAATATATTTATTATAAATATAATAAGCACGAGAGTGTGATTATCGGTAATAGTAAATTGAACAGTACCAGAAAAAAAAATATTTTCGTTTACTGTCTACGCCCGTATTTTAGTTTCTGTGCAATTACGTGACTTATTTTTCATAACCAAAACTATCCTATTGGGTGATGATGATGTATAAAAATGTGATGTGCAGGCGTTACGCGAGGCGGCGGCGGCGCGCGTGCCCTTGGAGCCCGACGCGGCGGTGCCAGACGTGTGCCGCATCCGCGTCAGACTGCCGCCCCCACACGACGCCGCGCTGGAGAGACGGTTCCACCAACAGGACAAACTAGCGGTCAGTATGTTACACACCATTCACTATAATAACTGACACTGTAGCATCCGCGTCAGGCTGCTGCCCGCCCCCACACGACGCCGCGTTATAGAGGCAGTTCCACCAACACGACAAAAGTAGCGGCCAGTCTGTTAAACTAACTCACACTAATATGGCAGATAAACTCCTGGTGCATTGTATTTTACACCTTATGGATAATGATAAAGTTTTAATAACAAAACAAGACTCATTATACCTCTTGTGCTCATAAGTTTTGAGACGAAATAAAAGTTGCATAACTTTTTAAATAATTAACTAATATTTCCAAAATTTTCAGTAATCATTAATTAGATAAGAATCAACAATACAATATATATTTTATTAAAAATGACTGCATTTGTTTTTAATACAGACCCTTAGACGATTTGTCCAGTCATCAATGGCCGCACGAATCTTTTCTAGCGGAATTTGCTTTGTTTCTCGATCAAGGGTTCGCTTCAGCGTTCAACTTCAAGTTTGGGTGCACTTCCGGCAGGCCCTGAACTCTAATTCAGTCCATTAAAAATAATCCAGCGGGTTGTGGTCGGGGCTGGAGGAGGGCCACTCGTCCGCCGCGATGAAGACCGGCACATTCTCCCTCAACAAAGCTCGGGTGCTTTTTGCCTTATGGGATGGCGCAGAGTCTTGCTGAAATACCCAATCCTTATTGTGAAATAACGTATCAGACAGGGGTTTCGCCACGGGCTCTAACTTTTAGCGTACACTTTATTGTTTTGTCAATTGAACTTTTCTTGGACAGTAAAAAATTTCTCGTCTGTGAAGAGTATCTTCCTGGCATCGTGTCTCCTCAGCAGCAATGGACAACGTTCGTGTCGTAACTTACGAAGACGATCGTTTAAAAAGTGAACTTTTCTATGGCCGTTACCTTAAGATCATATTTTATTATTCTCTTCACTAAAACGCGCGAAATATTAGATGTAGAGCGAGTTTCTTCTAAGTACGACATGAATTTCGGGGAAGTCGCTCTCGGATGATTTTGATGTTCGCAGGCAAGACCACTCCTTTTGCGATCTTGCAGTGAACTTGTCTCTTTGTACCTCTGTATTGTGTTATAAACGAAGACTTTTCAGGTCACGTAAAATCTGCATCGGTTTTTTTTCCGCCTTAAATAGCGAAATAACAGGTGCACGTAATTGTTTCGTTCCCTCCATCACGAAAAATAAAAAACAAATGAATTTACGATACAAATAAACTAAAAGTTTTGAAAGCCAGTAACATTTTACTTAATTTTTCAGTAAAAAGTTTATCTCAAAAATTATGAACACACGAGGTACAAACTTAATTGTACGGTGGTCATCGTTGTAATTGGTAGGTCAATTCCGGGCAACCGATGATTCACCATGCGTCATATCAGTTAGAACTTGTTAAACGATTACTTTTAAACTACGATATCTCCTACATAAAATATTGGTTTGAAAACCGTTTATTCCTATTGATATATTCATATTTATTAATCAAGCTGTTCTATACAATTATAATATAATAAACATTTTGGAAAATCTTTGTTTGACTGTGAAGTTTGTAGAATGGTACAATTTTGTATAAAATAATTACTATATTTAAATTAATTTGATTTTATTGTCAATAACGATCTAATTTATTATTATTATTTTCATTTTCACAGGCATTACTGGACTTCCTGGCTTCAAAAGGCTATCCAAAAGAGAACTATAAAGTTATATCTAGTTGGCCAAGAAGAGACGTAAGTATAATGTATAGCTATTTAATTTTAACATTATGAATGACTTTTCTTATCAGCAGAAATGCTCTGTTGAGTTCAAAGATATGTAAGTTCTAATACCAAACCAATTTTTTTTTTAAATTACTGAAAATTTTGCACTAAAGCGTCCCTAATTCCAGCTCACCTCCGTTACCACCAAAAGCAAATAAAAGTGTTTATAGACCTTAAAAGAGCATTTAGTACAGTGAGTCACCAATAGATAGCAAAAATCTATAGAGTTCTATCAAGTTTACTATGGTGTGCCGCAAGGTTCTATTTCTGTCCCACATAAATATAAATAATATAGACAAAATATGGTTATCAGATGCAACTGTATATGCCGATGACACATGTCTTTTTAATCGATTTCCCAAAGATAATGAGTTTTTTTATTCGTCGCGTATAAGTTTTTTTATGTATACTCTGTGATTGTTCCACAAATACTTGTATAACTCAAAAATATTTTTTTAGATAGAAATAGGAAACTAAATTTTTGAGCTACTGATTAAAACTTTGTAAAAACCTGTTTCAACATTAATGGAAATTCTACTCCTAATCGGGAAGAAAATGATATTTAATGTGGTTACAAAAGAAAATTATATAATCTTCACAAGCAAAGCCTCTGTAATCATTTTTATGTATTTCATTTTCACAGTTAACCGCAGAATCTCATAGCAGCACATTCAAAGCGCTGAACCTTTGTCCGCAAGAGACTGTCATGCTTGAAGAACGGTGAAGACCCGCTTGTCCTGTCCCGCTCGCACGTCGCACGCCAGACAGGGACCGCGTTACCCCCCCACGCGCCAACGCTTCATACAAAAGTATGTATAACTAGACTGTTTCGTTCTCAATTACTGGAAAAGAGCTTTTACGCAATAAAAAAAAAATCTCAGTAGCATTTTATAAAAACTAATTAAAAACGGTTTTACCTTATTTTCCTTGAAATGGTCAAGTTATATATATTTAAAGAAATCCATAATACTATTTGATTAATGAAAAAACCCTGATAATAAAATGAATTACTTAGTATATAGAAATACTAGACCTAAAAAGTTTTTTTTATACTTTGGCACTTCTTTTTTAATTTTCGCTATATGTTTTAAATTGTCATAATAATTCTTAATCCTTTATTAATTTATTACATATTATATAAGTGATTTAAAATAGTCAATGTGAGAAAATTATTCTTAATATTTGAAATTATCTGAAACATGTAAGTAGATAAAACAGTTTAGCCAAAGATAAAACAATGTAGATATAGCTTTTTGATATAAAAAAGAAGTTCTATTTTTGGTTAAACTGTGAAATATTTCTTGTAGATTTATGGCAACACAAGTATTAAAATTGTGTATATTAAGCATATTTTCAATAACTTCAACACAACTAGATTAAAAAAGTAAGAATTGTAATACATTTAAAGTTTTTTCTATTTGAATTAATTTTCTCACAAATAATATATAAAGGCTAGGCTGGTTTACACTTATATATCTTTATATTTATCAATGTGCAATCTACAGTGGATCAGGTTATACAAAAAGTTTTCTCAAATTGATTTTCAATCTTAAGTCTCGTCAATAGTGTTCAAATGGTTGTGGGAATTTGACATCTTGTTCTAATCTAATTTGTCATGTGCTTATACAATCTTAGTACATTTTTAAAATATCAAGTAAATTCAAATGTCAGTCATTGCCATCATTTTGTGTGCCTATTATTTGTTCAAATCTGTTCTGCGATGCGAGCAGGGCGGGTCATAGTGGCGTTATGTTCTATCACAAGGGAATAGGGATCAGTTTATGATAATTCCATGAAACTTACAGCTTTTAACGTAGTGGCATTATTGTATACTATTATGTGTCGTTTTGATTGTATAAAACAAGTTATTGTGAAATACTAAAAGACTTATATGTATAAGAAGTACTAGACAATATGTGTGGTATTTTAAAATCGCTCACTAAGACCTAGACGACGACCACCTTACTCTATAGCTATGACAAGCCATAGCTATAAGAATATTTTTTGATATCAATTAATGAATATTTGTATATTATTTTTTAACTGTGTGTATTTTATCTATACTAATATTATAAAAAGGAAATATTTGATTATTTGTTTGTATCAAATAAATTCCGAAACTATTGGACCGATTTTAAAAATTCTAAAACGAATGATAATGGGAATGGAAGTTTGTATGGGGAATTAAAACGTTCTCAACTTTATAGAAGAATATTAACATATGCCTTCACAAAATGTATATCTATGGCAACAGTCGTAACTTGAAATGTAGGTGGTCGGGCGCCTGTTCATAATCTACACCCATTGATTAACGTGTCGAATAGCGAGGGTTTTAATATACTAATAAAAACATGAACCACTTATCTAGGAATATACATCGAAGTCTTTGGAATTACTAGATTAATTGACTGAGGAGATGAAGTGACTCCACTTTATATGGTTATTCTGTTGTATAATATTCATATTTTTTGCTTTAACTGCATAGAGTATTGTTAGTATTCTCGCTCAAAGAATTGTACGCTGGTTTTAGTACGGAAATACAGGCTTGTAGTGGGGATGTTTGCCAGTTACTTTTTCTTGTCATTGTTTTTGTCAACTTGCAACACTGTTATGAGTTGCACCAGTTAGACAGTTGAGACAGTTTAAGAATGTATATATTATGATTATATTGTATACACTAGAAGCATATTATGTATGCGAACATAATATATTGGATGGATGATATGTACAAGCATGATCAGATATTTGATCTTTGTAATTTTTCATGAGATCCTCAAGAGATGTAACGCCAGGATGTTATGTACCCAAATAAAAATATTTGATGAAAGATAACTATGGTTTATTTATTATAACATTTGTAGTGTACAAGTTAACAATATAACACTAAGTGAAAGAATCATACTACTTTACCGTACATTAATTGACCTGTCACATTTTTAAAAGCCATGTCTTGCTGTAATGAAGTATTTAAAAAAAACATTAGTTCCCGAAATCAAACAAGATGTCGCTACGGTACATTCTTGATTTCTCCATGACAACCTTTCCGGTTTTCTTTCAAATTTAAAAGTAAATTAGTTTTCAAAACTTTTCAAAAAATAAACAACTCATATTCTATTTGTACTTTTTCGTATTTGTATTGATATCTAAGTTTCGAACTTTTCAAATTTCAGTTTTTTAATATGTTAGTTAAAAGGAACGGAAATGTCCGTCTTTGGTCCATTCGTTTTCTGCAACAATCAACTTTTGCAAGAGTCGAAATCTAGTACAGGTGCTTTATAGTGCTTTCGTTTTTTTTTTTAAATACTTCCTCATTAGAGATAATTCAGTTTTTGCTTAAGATAGAATAATAGCTAAACATCTTTTTATTTGAAGCCCAAAGCAATGTGTAATTTGTAAATAATGTTTTCAGGTTATAGCAACTGTCAAAACTCTAGATTGTGAAATCTTAGATTTTAATATATTAATTTGTGATTTACAAATTAATACAATATAAATAAATTCAAATGTAATTGTTGATGTGAACTTTTCAACCTTAGGACAAAAGAATATTTTTCCGTAGTAGATGAAACGAAACGTAACTAATCCTCTTTGGGCGGTCCGAATCGTATTGTGGTATTTTTCATACAACTTTATGATCAAATATCTGCCTCGCCATTTTTATCCTAGCTTTAAATAAAGACTTAATTATACGGTATACAATAATTAAAAAAAAAGCTTTATTTTGAGATAAATGTCATATAGTTAGAAGCGGTAGTTTTGGTTTATTTTGAGGACTAAATTAGACGTGATTCTTTCGTAGCTTCATGAAATCTAGCCTTATTATATACATAAATTAAGCTGTGAATAACTTAATGCCGATACGCTATACGTTTTTTCTGTTGCCTGTAGATCACTATTTCGCCCAGCAGTATTATCAATGAGACTACCATTCCTCCTGATAGCACCAGGAGGGCTGTAGAAAACTCTCTTATAGAGACTGAGAATATGCTACTGTCTGGCGTATGAACGCACGGTGGCTTCGCAGCGTCCCATACTGATTTCATTCGATGCATCAAGCCAGACTCCAAGGCTTTTCTAACCCTGAATTATTGAAATATTAGTTGAATATATTTTTTGCATTAACAATGCTATCTATACTTATATTATAAAGAGGAACGATTTGTTTGTTTGCATAGAATGGGCTCCGAAACTAACGGACCGATTTCAAAAATTCTTTCACCTACGGGTAACTACATCATACGGGGTTGACATAGTTCACATATTTCCACCTGCGAAGTCGCGTGAAAACTGCTAGTAATATATAAAGGTTAAAATTAGCACAAAATATCATATATAAATAGAAAGTTAAAATATCCTTCGATCATTTAGGTGCAGTCAACAAATCAGTACGTCAGATTATTGATGTTTCGGTAATTCACTTCATTTTTAACGCCTTAATATTTTGTGGATAGAGTTTAAAATCAACTGGAGATTGACATATTGCGTATGCAATTGCGTGAATTGCATTCACGCCAGCGGTGTGAATGCAATTTCATCTTTAATTAAAAATGCTTAAATTAAATGAACATTGATATATTAAAAACATCATAAATGTTTATAGAATCTTACCCATAAATGAAGTGTTCCTTATATGGTGAGGACTTCCTCACAACGAATCCCAATCTCTGCGGTGGATATAACAATATTTCGTATGCCTCGCAAATTTCCCTCTCACTGAATGTACGCCTCATAATTCTGGAAATTTTAAACTGTTGACGATATAGAGTTGCATTTTCATACGCCACTGAGATAATAATGAACTCGGTTATGTGACCAGTGATTATTAACCTATCTACATTTCAATCCATTTCATCATCACCAGTCTGTTACTCACGTAAAATAATATTACCCTTGGCACTAAATATGTTAATTTTTTATTTAATCGACATTTTTATGAATTATATTTATCATGAATACCTACCTATAAGCCAACCCGCTGTCCACATGAAATGCATAGCCCCCTCGTTTCACGAGAGTCATGCCGCGTTCTGCTGTGTAAAAGTTGTACTGGTGCTCGGGAACAATCTTTTTGTGGTACATTTTTAAAGCTACTTGATCAGTTGTATACTGAAATATTATTTCCATAATAATTCAATGATTAAATTTAAACTGTGAATTATTTTGTTGTATCTACGTCCGTATGCACTAAAAAGTATTGACTTAGCATTTCCTTTATAATCTGCTTTGCCTTTGGAAATGTCATCCGACATAATTATACTTAATTCAAATTGACCACTATAAAGTTTGAATGTATTTAAATCGTGTAATTGTCTCCTTGGTAAAGTTGATAGTATTGTGGTGACGCAAAGTGCCATTAAAGTTAAAAAGAAGAAGACCACTAAAGTTGGTCCTTCGAGCTTACCTTAAAGAAATCCTTGGCATAAAGAACATTTTCAGCTCCAGCTTTCAGATTACTCTTAACGAGGTCCTCTAAAGTTCTAATATTTTTCGGTGGCTCCCTTAACAAAGTGGACACTACTGTAGCGTTGTAATACTGATATATTGTTACAGCGTAAATAAATATTACGAACACCACCATTTTGACTGACATGGCACTTCGGTTTACCGACATGCCTATATTTAATGAAGAAAATATTAATTTGTGGGTATTTTTAAATCTCATATACTGTATTTTCTAGGTTTTATAACATCCGGTTTCTAAATTGAGTACTTCAAGTTAAGCACGTCTCAAACTGTACTTAGTTTGAGACGTGCTTAAATTTAGTCGCAATTTAGTTCAACTCGTCGGTAGGTTGCAGTTAGCATTCAAGTCTTTTGTTTGACATTCAAGCATTTATTTGTGCCCCGGATCAGATAGGCATGTTTGTGTAATACCTATCTACGTTTTCGTGTTATAGCAAGTTTCTTCAATGGAATTCAACGTTTCGACCAAGAGAGCTACTACGAAGATCATACGAAATAGTTTTTAGTACCTTGTTGGCACATCGCGCTCCATATGAATAACAGGGTCAGACTAAATGAGGAGTCCGCGCTCTCGTTGCCAGGTTTTGGGAACATATTTCTTAACATCAAGCTAAGTATGACTGCCGATAATGCGAATATGGACAATATGCAATACCAAACTCTGGCAGTCAATGGTCTCGTGTAAATTGTATAGAAACCTCCAGGATGCTTGGGGTGACGGAATATGAAACACTGTCTGAAAAATTTAATGGTTTAGTTGTAGGGTTGAAGTATAGGCCACTGAAGAAGGCTAAGTAAATATCCGATCACAGTTCTTACCAAACATTTGAAAATATAAAGTTCAAACAATGGCAGCAAACATAATCTGTTTGTTATGCCTTGCCGCCATATACGAATGTACTAGGTAGTTGCCAATATGGACGGGCCAGCCGCGAGTGAAATATCTTGAGAATATGTCAATTGTTTAAAAAGAATCAAGTGCACAAAAATCACGTTTATTGGATTATCTGTTTTCAGAAATAGTTAACTTCATCTGTGAAAATTTCAACTGTCTTAACTATTACAATCATTTTAAACTATTAAAACGAAAAGTTTATAATATACACCCTAATGACAGGCGGACGGGCAGCGGAGTCTTACCGTTGCCATTTTTTAACCTTTTGGTACAGAACACTAAAAAGTTTATTTTTAATTACCTACACCGCCAGGTCTCTGCTATATAATCGACCAATTGTGCCCTCTCGGTTCTAAAAAATAAGGGTGACCCTCCTATATCGGCTTCACGACGCTGCAAAGTACCAACGACCCCGTCAAACTGACCATTATTTCGGCGATATCCCCAAGAATTTGTGCGTTGAAGGTCAAGGCTGAAACAATATGTACATGAACTTAAAACGAGTTAAGTAGAGTGGCCAACTATAATGTCGCAGATTCGATTTCCGGCTGGATCAACATAGAAAATTAACCTCTCTTTATCGTCTCGGGTCTGAGTATTTTGGTGTTTTCTGTTACAACTTTCCATATCAGTTGTCTAATAATCATAATCAGTCAATATTGGTACAAGCCCAGACTAGAGATACTCTAATGGGTCACTACTCGCGCACAGTGCAGGTTGGTGAGTGTTAGCGACTGAAGATGCAGCTGAAATAACTTAATGTGCCTTTCCAAGCATAGAAGAGGCTAATGTAATAAATTTTAGGTTACCCATCCTACGAACGACCCTCGCGAAAGTTGCTTAACTTCCGCATCGCAGACTGAATGCGTTAACGAAGTAATACGTCTATAGTTATATAATATTAGTTATTCTTTATAAACTCACCTAAAATTGTACATATCACGAATATGATTTAAGAGTGTGACAAATTTCAGTCGATGAATTGAATCACCTGTATAATTCTTGGGCTGGTACAAGTATTGCTCAAATGTTTCGTTTTCTAACTTAACTGTGACTACCACAAAGCATTTAATACTTAAACCAGTCAAACTCCTTTTGTCAATTTTATTCAATTTCAAGTTCTTTTTCCAATAACCAACATATCTCACATAAAACTTACCATAAAAATAATCTGTATGAAACACTTCATAAAATTTGTAATTATCATTAAATTTTGAGATCACAGTTACATCTGAATCTATTTCTATAGAATAATTAGATAACACATTAGTGGTAGACACTATATCTTCGGTGTATATTAACCAAGTAAATGAACTTTTGAAATAAATATTTCCTGGGAAATTATTGAAAGCTTCTGACCAATCCTCACAAGAAGTGTTAAGAAATATTCCCAATTTGTTATGGGTATAAACTAACTCTTTTACATTGGCATTATCTATATCAATACTTGCCCCTATAATATTATTTTCATTAAATAACTTGTGCCATATAATTTTTGCTTGGTTATTGCAATTTGCATTAATGACATATTTAACTCCTCTTTCTTTGAAAAAGTCTAATACAGGAAAAATATCAATTGCATACACTAAATTCAAATACAAATTTGCCAGATTCATGACGAAAATCAACTACCCAGTATAAAAGAAACAGATTAAATGAAATAGTACAAGCATTTTATTCCAATAGCTCATTCATGAGACAAGAAAATTGCATTGATAAGAAAATTGATCCAATTACTGTCAGCAGTCTATTTTAATTTTAAAGTAAACCAATTCTAGTTTATTTGTCAGAAATTATATGGTATGCAGAAATAAACAGTACTTAAAGTTATTTAGTCCTAGTTGGAAAACACATCCTGGAATGGGAATTCTGCTTTATCTGACACCAGGAGATCAGACAAATAACAGACTGTTCCAGCAGTCCCTTCATATAAGCTCTCTGGATTGTCTGGCAATCTAGCATCTCGAAGAAACTCCTCTGTATACATAAAGTCAGCAAACATCTTTGCTCTGTACAGGTATTTCTCCTCTCCTGTAAGCCTGTACAGGAGAAGGAAGACATATCCATTTCCAGCAACCCCGTGACATATACCTGGTCCTTTACGTAACAAACCTTTGTGCCACACCATTTCTCCCGCTTTTATGCATGCATTATAATAGTTTTGATCATTCAGGACTAAATAAGCTTTTGCCATAAGGTAGATTGTACCAGAGGCACCGTGACACCAATGCACCAGCTTATGATCACTCAACCCAACTTCTTCCATGCAGCATGGCCAATTCCCTTCATCAGTCTGGAGTGTAACTAAATAGTCAATAGTAGCTTTGATAGCTGCAGCAGCAGTTTTATTATACTCTAAGTATCCAGGCACTGATAAAACCATTTGCAATATAAAACTCACTCCATGAGCTGCTCCCAAATATTCTGTATTGTAGTAATGGTACATCAAAGGGCATGGACTGTTGTGTTTTGTAGAATAATCTCTACCAGATGCCACCATCACATCACAGATTTTGAAGAGCTCTTCGTTCGAGAAAATCGATGTTTGAAGCTCTCGTGACAACCACAAAGCACCTGCCAAGTATCCTGCTCTACCAACAAATAATTCATCACCACCGCATTTCAGAAATTTTGGATTCAAATATTGAGGATAAAGAGATTTATACATTTTCAGTATCTCTTTATATTGTTCGTCTCCCAATTCTTTCATTAAGACAGTAGCCAGAGCGTATGTACCAGCATCACCAAGAAGGAACGAAGTTTTGTCACCAGCCGATGTGACTAAAGCAGGCTTCAGATAATCCAAGGCTTTTTCAAGATACTCTCTTTTACTGTCGGACAAAAGTAAGTTTTTAGATAGATTATAAAACATGTAAGCGATGCCAGATATTCCGACATATAGACCACCATCAACATTTTTGCGACTTGGTTGCAAGCGTTTGGTGATGATTTGTACGTGTTCATTTATATGATCACATATCTCCTCTTTATTGATGGTAAGAACTGTGCCTGGTTTAAAATCCTCGTAAGGATTTTGAAAAAACCGCACCATCTTAAAACTCAATCTCCCACTTGCACTGGACACCAATTTTCTTATTAAACTTATTGACTTTAAGGAGATAACTTTAGGGAAGTTCATTTAACGTATTGTTCCAATTGTATAGCAATAATAATTATATTTACATTATGAATAATTATGTAAGTTCTAGCAATAAAACATTCTTTGATATTGTTTTGTTTTTATTTTTCTGGATTTTTAGATTTTTAATGTCAAAATGTCAATTAATGTCAAAGTCAATCATTGCTATTTTTTACCGATTAAAATCAAAAAGATCTTAACCATACAGCCCAGTATTCAATAAATCTAAAATAATTTATTACGGCTATTAGTTAACAGAATTCTAAACTACTGGGCTTGTTTCTTTTTTCAAATTCAATTCAATTTCATTTATTTGTCAAATTTTTGGGTATACAAAACATATGCAAAGGTGTTATAGCCAAATTAAGTCCCAACAAAAATCTGCCTAGTTGGCGTACAAATATTACATAAAAATGTCAGATTATATTAAATTATGTCATAGATTCATTATAAATGTCAATAATTAAATATAAAAATGTAAAATTAAAGCAAGTGAAAAAAATACAATTATACATATGAATTAATTTTCAATAAAATATTATAATGTTATGTCATTTAGATAATCTTTTACCGAGTAGTAACATTTGTCAAGTAAAAAAAGAAACAAATTAGTTTTAAATGAGTGGAGTTGAGTTCTTTCTTTTTAGTTGTTATAGTTAATTATTTCATTTATTTTTTTTTTAATTCCATTTTATGTTTTTCTTTAAATTATTTGTTTTTATTTTATTCTTTTTATTTACGATTCGTTGACTTCGTTAAAATATGGTAAATTTCGCAATCTATTCATTTCATCGAGGGAGTTAATAACGTTTGTTAAACAACTTTAAACCGTTATTTATCTTAATCTATTATTTAAAATGAAGAATGATAAAAGGAACCTAAAGATGATTTTAAAACAGCTATTCAACGACACCCCACTTGACATAGTTCATCGATTTTTTTTTTCATTTTGACAATATGGTGTATGATTATCGGTGTGGTGAATTTTGATTAGATCATGTTTGACATCATCGCAATCTTTCATTCATTTCATTTTCATTTTACATGTAGAAATTTATTTATTCACTTGACATTGGCAGAATTGTGCGAAATGCGCAGATAAGCCATAAATAAAGGAAGAAGAAGAAGAATTTTGATTACTGTCGTGTCTTTAGTGACACTCGCAAGGTTAAGACAAATCGATTGACGTAAGAATCATCAAAATCGGTATACGCATTTGGTCTCTAGAACGCCACATACAAACATACATACAAAGACTGAACACATTACCCTCCCTTGCGTCGCGCAGTCGGGTAAAAATAGAAAGTTCTCAAGTGATGAGTTGAGTGAAATCAAACAAAAGTAATTTGAGAAAAAGAAGTTTTGTTAAGACTATTTTCTCTCTAATTTTTTTTCTATGGTTTCCAGCAGGCCTACCACATGACAAAATTGACTTCGATTCGATTGATATTTGGCGACATCAAACGTTGAATTACTGGGTCACCCGCCGTATAGCCCCGACCTCGCGCCTTGTGATTTTTATTTATTTCCAAAAATTAAAGAAAAACTTAAAGGAAAGCGGTTTATGAATGCTGAAGAAGCGGTGGCTGCGTATCGCGATGCCATTGAAGAGACCCCTAAGGACGAGTGGGCAAAGTGCTTTTCCCAGTGGTTCCATCGCTTGCAGCGGTGTATTGACGTGAATGGACAATATTTTGAAAAGATATAATAAAACTAATAACTGGCTAATGTAATCAGTTTTTGATTTTCTAAGAACTTTCAGTTTGACCCTCGTATGGTTATCGGTGTATGGTGTATGGTTAGACTAGCAATCTCACCTTGAATAGGTGTTCCTTGTTACTAAAGGTTCTCTTAGCAATCGTTGCTTTTATTATTTTTTATTAGAAACGGAATAATATCATTACTATTAAAATCTGTTAAGTCATAAATCATAATAGATACATACACATAAAGTAGTATTTAGAAAATCGGCAAAGTGTTTTATCTATTCTCAAAAATATCATAGTAAAATCCAACTACTCATCCAATTGATTTGGTGTAAAAGACAATTTTTATTTGCATTAAATTTCTTTGACGATAAGCATATTTATTTTGATAAGGATTCAAAATCGCCTATTCAAATAAACGTCTAAAGACGGACAAAAAAATTACACACTTTTACGATGTTGCTTTTTTTTAAATCTTAGCACATAGATACTTACTATCGCGGACTTCTTTATAGATATTTTAAAACTCTATAACTTTTCTCTAGAAAGCATTCGTACCTATAATTATCTCTTACCTTTTAGGCAGCGTTCACAAAAATAGGCGTACTTGAAAGTACTTATCGTACGTACGGAAGTACATATCCCTAGAGAACCTTTTAGCGGGATAAGGGAAAGTAGCCTATATGTTAATCCAGGTCAAGTATTGCTTATATACCAAATTTTATCTAAGTTCTTTCAATATTATTTGCTTGAAGAAGTAACAAAAATTTAAACCTGCAACCTTTAGCCTTTATAATATTAGTAGAATACTTTGCTTGATTTTTTTTTTCATAGATAGATACCAGTTGTTTACCCGCGACTTCGCAGATATAAAAATAGACTATGTCAACCCTGTATGATGGAGCTAACCATATGTGAAAGAATTTTTAAAATGGGTCCAGTAGTTTCGGAGCCTATGTGATACAAACAAACAAACAATAAAATCTTTCCTCTTTATAATATTAGTATAGATAAAAAGAAATCTCTATGCTATATTTCTATTATTTGTAGATTTCACTTACTTCACTGTTTATTAGTTTATTACGTTACTTAGCAACAAGTTGACACTCTTCAAATATTTCTTACAGAGAATTTAGATGGACCAAAACTGCCTTCCATACGAATTTATATTGTAATTTAGCTTTCTAGTGGGACCAAATGATTAAGTTTTAATATTATTCTGTTAGCTAATTGTAAAGCTAATGCCTATCTCTTACAACCGTGGTAATGTAAGTATGATTAATACTTTATTATAGATGGTCAATTTACTAAATTTCGGCGTTGTTATTGATAATGTATTCATTCAGGTGAGAAAAACTGCGTTTCGCTCAAGGGGACGATCTGCACAGTCACTAGATATTGGTGGAACTCCTCCGAGGGTTGACGCGGGTGCCAGCGGAGACGGCCGCTTATTTTTACAAATTAGGCCTGCTTTCGCTGATCCTCGTTCTTTTAACCAAAGGTCAAATACAGTTTTATCGGGGTGAGATATTATTTCACAAGCATAATTATATTGCGTGCATGAAATCAAGTATGTCGAATGCTTGGAAAAATTGCAAATGTATTTCAGATGTTAAATTATTACATACCTAATTTTCAATGTCTATTTAAAATAAATATTTAAATAATCAATATCAAAAAATTATCGAATTAATTTAAATAATCTCCCATGCCAATATTACGATAGGCCATTATAACATTTATAGGATTATAAAATATCTTGTTTTAGAAATGATTATTTGCAAAAAGAGGATAACAAAGATGATACGGTTAGCTTACAAGCAGTTGGAGGAGGGAAAGTACAGCTATCAAGAACCCCCCAAGAAAAAGATAGATTACCGGATAGAATAACACTAGACAGGTATGGATGCATTGCTTTAATGCAATTTTATCATAGTGAATTTATAATTTATACAAACAACGTTACGAAAGCGGAGCAATTGGTACTCTAGGCTAACTATCTTTTAACTCATCGTTTGTTCATTTAACTTTTCAAAGGGAGTCTTGGCTACTTTTTATAAACTATGTAATCTATATACAGGAATTGTGACAATTAGAATACAAAACTTTGATTTAATTGATGATTATCTTGAAATCACTTTCATAACTTAACAATTTTGTATAATATATCTACAATCTAAATGCATATATGTGAAAAGATAATCTCGATGTAATCAAAAGGTGATAATATTTTGCGGTAGATAACAGGATTGCACCTATCCCTATAGAAAATAAAAATTCGGCATTTTTACACACAAAGTGTTTGCGTAATATCGATCAAATAAAATTATCGCCAGACACTGCGATCCTATCAACTGCAATTGCTCTAATTACCTAGAGCGGAGCAAGTATGCGATGATTATCACTGCTGGCTAATCCCCATATTTCATAATATTATTTCACTTCATGAGGACTGTTCTATGGCTCAGTTACACTAGTTGATAAGGTTAGCACGCGAGACGCGGGCAACCTCTGCACGCTCATCTCATTGGTCAATAAAACAATGACCAATTAACGAAAACATAAATGTCATCGACCAGTGTAACTGCGTCACAAAGGTATGCAAAAGCCGTAAAGTACTTCGCATTGTGAACTACGCCAACAAATATAATTTATTTTTCAGACGTGGATTGTCCTCCATACCACACATCGTAGGAGAACCAGGACTTAGATTGTTATCGTTGCAACACAATTTAATCAATAGCCTCACTGGCTTATCCACTCTTGATCTCGGAAAATTAGTTTTTTTAGATTTATATGATAATCAAATAGAGAAAATCACGTGCTTAGAAAGACTTTTCAGCTTAAGAGTTTTGCTGATGGGGAAGAATAGGTAAGCAAATTATAAGTACCATTAATAGTTAATAGTAGTTATAAGTACCATAAGTACCAAAATTTTGAATACTATTGTTTACGAGTAGGTATTACGCACGTCAAAATGAACCAAAATGTTCCAGTTTTCAGTGCCTACACAGTGAAACCTTTATAACAAAAGCGCCTTCGTCGTCTACCCAATCTTTTACTCCTATAATCAAATAATAAAATATATAATTTTCGATGATGTTTCGATGATTACAGAATAAGAAGAATAGAAGGACTCTCAAATCTCATGAAATTAGAAGTTTTAGATTTGCATGGAAATCGAATTAGTAAAGTTTGTGGTTTATCTAATTTAAATGAATTAAAAGTTCTAAATCTAGCTGGAAACCAGATAAAATATCTAGGACAAGTTGATTTTCAAGGACTAGTGTCTTTAAAAGAACTGAATTTGAAAAGGAACCGTTTGAGAAAATTACTCGGATTTCAAAACACGCCTAAATTGGAAAAATTGTATTTGGGTAACAATGATTTACAAAGGTAAGATGAAATAATTGATTTACTATATTATCAAATAAACAATTAATTTTGTAAGTATTATCATAATTTTGATTATTATGATTTTTACAGCGTTGAAGATGTTTCATCTCTAGCCGAAGCTACATTGCTTATTGACATTTCATTAGATGGAAATCCGGTAGCTTTGGGCGGCGATTGTACACCATTTCTTGTGTCTTATCTACCAAACTTACAAACGTTAACAAATATGCATGTTACAGAGCAAGTAAGAAACTTATTTCATAAAAAATTACCTGGCACTGTTACATTTTCATAATAACAACGTTTTGGTGAATAGGTTAGAAGTGCAGCTATGGCTTGGCGCAGTAATAAAGAGGCAGCTCATGCTGCTTACTGCGCACTGGGAGGTACAGCGCCACAGGCAGCTCGACGTGACCAAATTATACACAACGCACGAACGAACTGGGAGTTACTCAGGTCAATTATAATTACCGTAACGAGAAATTATATATTTTGAATATTCCTTCTAAAGTTTATTTGCCTTTTTTTCATATTTTAGATCAGAAAATAAATGTTTTGTTGCAACTATGAATGCTGCTAAAACGGAGGATTTCGACAAAGAGTTTACCTTAGATGTGACTGCGTCCCCTGTATTATTAAATGGTGGGACACAAACAATGGACTTAGCAGTTCTTCCAGATGTCGTCGTCTCCATACAACAAGCTGACACAGAAGATTCTGATTACAAGAACAGTAATAGTGATACGAATCTTAAAACGAATAACGAAAGCATTCCTAAATCTCCAAATAGAAAGCTACAAAGAAGTTTTACAGCAAAGAGAACATCTGAAAGACGTGTGAACTTTTCAGAAAGAAGCGCGTCACAAGATACTGATGCGTCAACATCAACAAGCAGTGATTTAAAACTACCGCCCATTTTACTACCCATAATATCGTCGTTAGAAAACGTGAAATTATCAGAAAGTAGCGAACCTATATTAAAGAGATGGGAAAGTTTATCTAGCGTAGAACCAATAGTGGATTCATCATTTAGCTCTCTACCTTCCTCGACTAGCGATAGTGAAGAAGAAACCAAATGCCGACAAGTAAGGCGCGTACCTACCGTGTTGAGAAGACGAGAAAATTTTAGTACGATGCGATCTAAATCTGTCTGTGATCCAGAAAGTCGTAGGGTGAAAACTAATGCAAAGAATTCTGATAACAGTGAAAACACGAGTAACATATCGAGTAGCACAAATGTTGGGTCTATCGCAACATCGTCGACTTCAGGAAGTGATCAAAACAGTAAAACATTAAGAAGAGAAAGTTCTTTAAATAGCAGAAACAGTAATAGAAATATAAGAAGCGCCACTATTACACGAAGAAGTGAAAGGGCTTCTTCTGCTAATAGAGCTTCTACCGCTCGTACGAAGCCTGGAAAAAGTTTAGCAAGCCTAAAATCATCTGAACCGGTTCCGAAACCAATACCTGTATCCAAAGACAGAGAACAAGGTCAGAGACTCACTTCCAAATTGTACCGAATCGTCAAGAGCAAAACAAAATAAATTGTTGATAAACAAGACGTTTTATTTACAGGTGTAGATTATTTAGTTGAATTAAGTGATGGTACTGTAAGTGCCTGGGGAGCTGGTGCAGTCCGCCGACTCACACGAGATTGGGATTGGGAGAAAGCACGTACAGTTTCTAAAGCTGCTTTTCATTATGTTCACTTCAACGCAGTGGCGCAATCTCTTCCAGAACTAAAATCAAAGTCGGTTTATGTTCATTTGTTCCGCATCACTGTGTAAATGTTTAAAATAATACAGACTGCTAAATTCTTGCATTTTCAGATTCCCAAATGTTACACATATATCGGTACGAGCGACAGGACTTCAATGGCTTGGTCAGTTGCACGCCTTAGCAGAGTTGAGAGGATTAACAGGTTTATCAATACTGTCTGAAGGTAATCCCATATATTCTAAAACATGGCGCGAGTACGCAGTTTACCGACTTGCTCATTGGGGATTAAAGGAGATAAATGAAGAATCGGTAATAACATGTTAACATAGATAAGAAAGCTTTACCAATACTTGGCCATTTGTATGGAAGAGCTTTTTTTTGCAGATTACTGAAGAAGAAATAAAAGCCGCCAACCAAACATTTAACGGTCTCAGTGATATAGTATTGCGAGCGCTTCCTGATGCACCATTGCAGCCGTTATTGTCTCGTCTAGGACGAAGTGGCAATAGCACTGTCAGTGCTAAAGCTTGGCTGAGAGCTGCAGACCCAGCATTACGCGACGTTATAGCTAAAGAAGCATTACAATATAAAAAAGGACATGTGTCGCAAGTATGATTTTCAGTTTTGTAAGCACTCTTTTCTTAGCTATTATCGGAATGATTATGATTTTAGACATAATATTTTCCAACTATTTTTATGACTGAAGAATCTTACAAATAATTATTTTATATAATAATACTAAAATTTTTTTTTTTAGGAGGACATGAGTTGGCGAGTACGCGGTCGTGGGCAATTGTCACATTCGATACAGCTAGCGTGTGGTGCAGCGCAACGTTTACGTGTGCTGGAACTACAATGGCCATCAATATTAGTGGAAATGATAGAAGAAATATTGAGAGATTTTTCTAACATGGAAACTCATGTTAAAGAACAAATGCATATGCTCATAGACACTTTATAGTGTGATTCACAATAACGTATTTCTTCTAGATGATGTCATGATTTACGTCATTCAGAAACAATTACCAATTATAAACTTCCTTGTTTGGGATCAATTCGTTTATTTTGGGCTTGTTTAGTAATATAACAGTATCAGACTATAAGTAAACGTGCAAAAAAAAAAACAACATTACATAAATAAATAAAACTTCAGAAAACATCAAAACTAGAAAAAAATAATCTTAGCCAAAAGATAATAATATGTTCAAGAAACTTTTTAAGTCGGTAGGTAGTTAATATTAATAATAAATAAATAAAATCTTGCGAATCTTATACTCTCGTGTCGGACACTGTTGCTCCGGAACTTGAAATAATTGCCAGCATAGATATAATATTGTTGGAGGAGAGGAAGTAGCCAAAATCTTTCGGTTGATAGTAACTACAATGCAATTATATGAAAACTTATAAAAAGTAATTTGTTGCTAAACTAAACAAACGGACACAATGTGATAGCAAATGTGTCGATGTACTTATGTTGTGATTGGGACATAGCACCAAAGATAATATGGCATTACGATTGATACCTAGCAATATGTATGTGTGTATAATGTGCATTTTTGACAGCCGTTGATTAGTTTACTGCGTACGTTTGATGCCTATTTTATAATTTATATTTAAACTGTATTGTTACCTATTCAATAGCTACTTGGGGACTGAACAATTTCATATAATTGCTCAATAAAATAAAATGAGCAAAAGTATGTCTATTATCTTATTACAGTTATTACTGACCTAAGTTCATACATAGAAAAATATATTAAGTTCATTTATAAAAGGTATTATTAATAAGTCACAGTAGCTAAAGTAAGTTATCTTCGTGAGACTATAGAAATACATTTGTCATTTTTATTTAACGAGTTCTTTTTTTTCAAATTTCCACGTGGTTGTATGTATATTTTTGGTAATGATAAAGTCAATAAATATAGAAATACATATTTATCTAACAAATATTATAAAGGCGAAAGTTTAGATGTTTTTTACATCTTCACTCAAAAATGGCAGAACGAATTTTAATGAAATTTGGTTGCTATATTAAATGAGGTATTCCTAAGCCTAAACATGGATGTCCATGGTCTGGATTAACATACGGGCTACTATTTATCCTACTAAACAGTTCCCAAGGAACCACGCGGCTGAAGCCGCTGGCGGAAAGCTATTAAATAATGTTTATTTATGTTGTTTTTTTTTTAGATTTAAATTTAGGATTCCGCTTTGTACTGATGAATAAATAAGGTAAGTAATACATAAAGAAACAAATGCTATGCAAGTGTACTTTTACATAACTTTGCCAACATATGGCAAGCATTCTTTTTTGCCGCGAATAAATAAAATTATATTTTGTTAAATTGTTACATATCGTTCACATCATAGATTTGTCGTCTCGTGGGTGAAAGTGTTTAAAGCCTATTTGATGCAAACAAACAACAAAACCTTTAAAATATTAGCATGGGTATTATTAATACGTTAAACAAAACTTTAGACCACTTATTGCACAGACGGAGGACTACGAAACGAAAATTCATGTTATATATAGGAAAATTCACGTTATAAAAGTTTATATAGAGCCGAAGTGCAGAATAGTACTATCTATGCTAATATTTCCTATTCGCACGAGACTATGACGATTTTATTCACATATCTATTGGAAGTAGTCAGTAGAAACATATACTGGAAAGCTTAGGTTCTTTTGGCTCTACATAAAAAAAACAACGATAGCTGTCAGTTTGACAATGACGATGACTGACGTTAGTGTCGTTGACGTGTTGTATAGTATTAATAGGGAAATTCTGAAAGTTGAATATACTCAAATCAAATATTTCTGAAGAAATATTATGCTTACTGCATTAGTATCGAGTTAAAACGGTATGTCTTTCCAATTTGAAGCAATTATGATGGATTTTTTTTCGTAATATACGCCATGGATGACACAGAAAGCACAACAACGTCGGCTGATGAGAACACTGGTAATTTATGTGACAATCCGACAAGAGATACTCTTGCGGAAGGACTTTTGGGTTTGCTGAAGCCTACAGTCGATCAGTTGGATGAACGCGTGAGATCTACTAGGTAAAAAATATTCAAATATTAGTGAATTCCTAATGGTTTTTTCTGTTTAAATTAAATAATTTACTTTCTAGGATATCCCAGTTGGAATTGAAGCAACAAATAGATTCATTGAATGAAGAATTATCAAAGGTGCGAGAAGCACTTAACAACCATCCAGATTTGGATCCGTATGTTAAGAAACTAATTGCCTGCAAACATAAAGTAACAGTTGTTCTCAACATATTACAAGCCTCGCAGGTAAAGACAACAATCCCATCTACTGTGTATATTTCAGAGATACTTGCAAATAATCATATGAAATATTCATTTTAAACTGAAAATATTCTATAACATACAAGTTTACAAATTGCAAACAATATTTATTATTAATTGCAACATAATTTAGTTATCCATTCATCCAATGGAAATAGCCATATTTTTGTTCAATTCACATTTCTATTTTTTTAAGTTCATAATGTCTAAATTAACTATAAATTTTTAATTACAGGATAGACTAAATGAAATAAGGCAAATGATAAACAAAGAGAAAAGTGTACGGCCTACTGTTATTACTGGAGGTCTGCCCCCAGAACCTGAACAAAGTACAAGTGGCATACTATCAGATAGAGGAAGTATTAATTAAAATGGAGACTCCTCATCAAAACCACATAAATAAGGCCGATTTTCATGATGTATATGAGCCTGCTGAAGACAGCTTTCTAATGATTGATGCTTTGGAGAAAGATATAGATTATTTAAAAGCAAAGAAACCAATATTCTGCTTAGAAGTTGGATCTGGAAGTGGTATTGTAATAACTGCTTTTAGTATGGCATTCCCTGGAACATTCTGTCTTAGCACAGATATCAATGTAAAGGCTTGCATCATGTCTAAAAGTACAGCTTGCTATAATAAAGCACTACATGATTCAATAAACATGAATCTTGCAGATTCCTTCACAAATAATAAGTTAGATGTGATCATTTTTAATCCACCTTATGTGGTAACAGATAGCATAGAATGTGGACAAAAGGATATAACAGCAAGTTGGGCAGGAGGGAAAAATGGTAGAGAAGTAACTGATAAACTTTTGGATATGATACCAAAGAAACTAGCTGATAATGGGGTCTTTTACCTACTGCTTATTGAAGAAAACATTCCAAAAGAAGTTTGTGAAATTATGTCTAGTTTTGGTTTCAATTATGAATGCATCATAAAACGATTAGTAAGGAATGAGCGGCAAATGGTAATTAAGTTTTTCAGATAAAAACATTGTTTAGTAATTATAAGAAATTGTATTTGTCATTGTATAAATATAATCTTTATGAAAATAAACAATGTTAATGTTTTAAACATATTTCACTGCTTAAGATTCTTCTTCACTGCTTCGCCAAAATCTTGAGCACCTTCTTGGTTTTCCTGATAACCAGGCAATGAAGCACATTCTAACACCCAGCGTTGTATGTTAGGAAATTTAGAAATGTCCCAGCCCACAGCCTGTAAACAAAGGCTCTACTGAAAAATATCAACTAGTAATATAAAAACCACCAATATGAGTAATAACTGGCCAATTTCTTCCACAGTAATAAACATTGGGACAGTTTTCTAATAGTAAACAACAACATGTTTTACATGTTAAGGAAAAATGTTAAAGTAACATGTTTTGTTATGAATGGTCTAAAAATACTTAAGCATAAAAAATACAAATACTATAATTTTTATATTGCATAGTATGGTTAGAGTATATATTAATAAAAATTACAACTCACTAATTTCATTATGTAGAATAATATAAGGCAAATTCCACCAATAATAAATTGTACCATCCAAATAAGCCAAAAATTAAAATATTTACTCACAAGTATGCTAGACACAGATGCATAGATTGAAGTATCAGCTATTGTCATATTATCTCCTGCTACCCATTTACTTCCTCTAAGAAATTCTTCAAGAAGGTCAAATGTGGTATTCAGATCATCCTTTAGGTTTTGTTTGATTTCTGTTTCACCAAGAAATAAAATTGGAAACTGGAAAATATGCAGATGTTAAATATAAATGTGATTGCCATTGTAGGCCGAGGAAATAATAAAATAAAATAATATAAAGGTACTTACGCAAATTGCTCTTATCTTTACATATATTGAAGAGCAATCAAAATATAATCTCTGATTTACAAGAGCACGTTGTTTCAAATCTTTAGGGTAAAGTTGGTCATCCTTGCCATACTTGTCGGCTAAATAGCAAGCAATCGCGCGACTTTCCCATAATATGAAACCATCATCTTCCAATGTGGGAACACAGTGCTGTGGATTAATTTTCAAGAAACCTTCTTTTAATTGTTCCTTTTTGAATAAATCAACTATTTCTATTTGTATAGGAACTCCAATGGCTCTTGCTGCTAGTAAAGCTCCGCGAGATGGCCCACTTATTGGGAAGTGATATAATTTCAAAGACATTATTTTAGTGGAATCAAATTTGTTTGCTTTTCTTTACTATGGACTTTGGTTTATCAGAAATTATAATAGAACTTAATATTATTTTTTTCCCCTTCAGCAACGAAACGAAAGAAAGGAAACAAAAAAATTGAAGACTGGTTTTTAGTAATCTATGAAAGTGAAAGGAAATTTATTTTGAAATTTGACAACTTTTATTGAAACCCATAGAGATTTGAAATCAAAGATTTTATTTGTCTATGTTTCTGACGTAGTGCCAAGGAACTTGCACACTAGATTTGATTATGAGACAAAAATAAATTAAATCTCTATGCTCGAATACCGTAAAATTGACATTGATATTGAATTGTATAGATCTACCGAATCTCACGGTATTTAAAAAAAATAAAAAAAAGAGAATTTTATATTGCAACACTCATGTCATCGTTCAATCATTGAGTCACTTGTCATTTTTGTCAAAATTTTTTAAAAAGCTTCTGTGGTCCAACGGGTAATCTGTTACGTAAAATTGAACTTTCGATTGATGTTTTATGATGGTTTTTGTTTTAAACACTGACTTTATCGAATAACAAAGAGATTTATATTCACAGAGACTACGTTCGAAAATTTTTTTTTTAAACAGTGGTGTTATAATAACTCTTTTGTATTGACATCTTATTTATTTCCTTTTATGTAAGTGTGACATCTGACATCTTTCAGTTAATGAAAAGTCTTATATTGTGAATATGATATTTTATTTCCATAAAATAATATAAATACTTTATTGGCGACGAGGATGGACGCCGAACAGTTTACACAATTTTTACAAGCCCAACAGGCGCAACAGGAACAGATAACTCAATTACTTTTACTTTTAGCATCTCAAACACAGAGCGTACAGGTACGTACAACAGCATCAAATGGTGAACACACCATACCAACATCGAACTCGGATAACAACAATTTGAGTATATTCAAACATTTTAACATCGACAAGTTAAACCCGGATTGTACTAGAGTGGAAGATTACCTCGACCTCTTCGAAACTAAATGTAAAATTCACAAAATTACCGACAATAACATCAAAAAGGATTTACTACTCAATTGTTTCACTCCAGAAATACTCAGAGAGGTAAAAATCAGTCTAACTCCCAATTTTGACGGCTGTACATATAATGATTTACATAACAAACTTTTAGATTTGTTTCGTATAAAAAAAACTAGATATCGGGCCTTAACCGACTTCTGGAAATGTGTAAGAGAGAACAACGAAACAATGGAACATTATGCAAATCGACTGAGAGAATTGAGCTTAGACTGTGGATATAGCGAAACATTACTAGAACGTCAATTACGAGACCGTTTTGCAACAGGTTTGAACCATGTTGAATTAGAAACAGATTTAAAACAAAAATGGCCTGATCTCACTGAAACTTTCAAAGGAATCATAAAAGAAGTTACATTTACCCAGATTTTTACTGTTGCACAATCTCGAGAACAAGCTGAACATGATATACCATCCACTCTATTAAAAAGTTAAATTACAGCACACATTCTACAACGAATTCCAAACGCTTTACGAACAACCGAAAGCCTCGATTTATTTATCAAGACCAGTGCTACCGCTGTGGTAGAAGTAACAAACATAGTTTTACAAACTGCCCTGCTAAAGAACACACATGCCAGGAATGCAAAACTAATGGACATTTTGAAAACTGTTGTATCAAAAGTGGCCGAGCACAGATTACAAGAAACAGTAATTTGAAATCAAAGTATGGTAATAAATTACAAAAAGTTACAGAAAACCGTACAACAAACGAAGATTCATCAGGAAGCAGTGATGATAGTGACGACTACATATGTAACGTTACACGGAACCAACAAAAAAAGAGAGACTGCAAAAGAATTGATGTTATTATCAACGGACAACCCTGCACAATGGATTGGGATCCTGGTTCAACATATACAATTATTAACACACAGTTTTGGAGGACAATAGGATCTCCAATTCTAACCAAAGCACCTAAATTAAAAGCTTATGGAGATTATAGACTTAAATCAAAAGGCCTTGCTGAAGTGACTGTTGAAATTCAAGGTAAACAAAAAATCCTACCAGCTGTAGTTATGACGAATGCTAACCCTATGCTTTTTGGTTTACAATGGAGCGAAATGTTTGATATGGAATTTCCAAAACCTGTTTATTCCATCAAAAGTAGTAAAACACAGGCATCACTTCAACAAGTCTTAAACCAATATACTCAACTTTTTGACGGAAAATTAGGAAAAGTTGAAGGTTATCAAGTGAACATTTATGTTAAACAAGGCGCAGAACCTGTACATTTACCAGCACGTCCAATCAAATTTGGAATAAAAAGAAACATCGAGTTAGAGTTGGATCGTCTTGTATCTGAAGGCATCATAGAAAAAATTGATCCGAATATAACACCAGTTGAGTGGGCGACACCAACTGTAAACGTTGTAAAACCAAACGGAACTATACGTATCTGTGGGGACTACAGAAGCACTCTAATCCCCGTGTTAGTCAAACACTTACACCCCGTACCACTATTCGACCAACTACGACAAAAACTGACTCATGGCGAATGTTTTTCTAAAACAGACCTGAAAGATGCCTATCTTCAATTCGAAATAGCTCCAGATTCTAAGAAATATCTAACACTTTCGACACACAAAGGTTATTTCCAATATAATAGAATGCCTTTTGGAATATCGACAGCACCATCAATCTTCCAACATTATCTTGATACATTGCTTGGTGATCTTCCTAACGTGGCTGTATATTTTGATGATATTGCGGTGACCGGAAAAACAAATTACCAGCACTTACAGACTTTATCAACGGTGTTCGAACGTTTAAACAGAGCAGGTCTCAAAATAAATTTAAAGAAGTGTTCATTTCTACAAGATCAAATAGAGTACCTGGGTCATACAATAGACAAAAATGGAATACACCCCACAAAGAAAAAACTTGATGCTATAACGAACGCCTCAGAACCATCAAATTCAAAAGAACTGAGATCTTTTCTGGGCCTGGTAAATTTTTACGAACGATTTATTCCACATCTACATGGAATCTGTGCAGATTTACATGAATTAACAAGTGGTAGACAACGATGGCGTTGGACAAGTCATGAAAGGAACATTTTTGAGAAAACTAAATCTTGCATAGCTGCATCGCAACCCTTAATAGCATTTGATGATAACAGACCACTATTTCTAGCATGCGACGCATCGGAAAAAGGCGTAGGAGCCGTTTTATTTCACAAACAAAAAGATCGCGAAGAACCTATAGCTTTTGCATCAAGGAAATTGCGCACTGCTGAAGCTAAATATTCTGTAATTGACAGAGAAGCTCTTGCTATATTTTTTGGAATAAAAAAATTCGATCAATATCTACGCGGAACAAAATTTACACTATTAACTGACCATAAACCCCTCATTTACATATTGGGTGCTCCACGTAATCTTCCTAAAATAACTAACAACAGACTTGTGAGGTGGGCTTTAATCATTGGTAGTTACAATTACGACATTTTCTACCAAAAGGGTGAACAGAATATACTGGCAGATTGTTTTTCAAGATTACCTGATAATCATACCGAACTATCAAATACAGAACGCATAATACGCAAGATCGATTCACGCCTTATATCAAACAGAATTTCAGTCGTACACTTAACGGAAAAGAGTATAAGAGAACATTCCATGATCGATTCCATTTTATCAAAAGTTGTACAATACTTAAAAACTGGTTGGCGCGACTTTGAATATAATAATGAACTAAAACATTATTTCAGAAAACGGAACGAAATTTCAGTTGAAAATAAGATTTTATTATGGCAGGGAAGAATGATCATACCAAACTCCTTGCGATTAAAGGTAATATCATACCTTCACCAGGGTCACCCTGGAATAAGTGCGATGAAGGCACTCGCACGTTTTTAGTCTGGTGGCCGACTTTAGACGAAGACATAGAGAATTTTGTCAAGCAGTGTAACGGGTGCCAAGCTAATCGTCCTCACAATCCAGAGCTTCCAATCTTTTCCTGGTCCATTCCTGAACAAGTATGGGAAAGAATACACATCGATTTTGCTGGACCATATGACGATACATATTGGCTAATTGTTTGTGATGCATTATCTAAATGGGTGGAAGTTAAACCAATGAAACGCATAACTACTAGAGATTTATGCTTGGTTCTAGATGACATATTTGTCACATTTGGGCTACCACAAATTATTGTTTCAGACAATGGCCCACAATTTGTCTCGCACGATTTTAAGAATTACTGTGAAAAGTTAGGTATAGTACACGTGACTTCTTCACCATATCACCCGCGCAGTAACGGACTGGCTGAAAGATTTGTTAGAACTTTTAAGACAAGAATAGGAGCGAACGAAGGGACTAAAGCTAAACATCTCATTGAATTTCTTTTTACCTATCGAAATACTCCTCATAATACTACAGGAAAATCACCTGCACAAATGATGTTTGGGCGACAGCTCAACTGCGTTTTATCTAATATCAGGCCATCTAAACGAAGAAATTTACAGTTACGTCAAATTCAAAACAACGTCACCACTGCATCATCTGAAGCTGGAAATTTTGTACCTGGTGAACCAATTTATACGAGAACTAAATTAGAAAAGTTTTGGGAAAAGGGAACAATAGCCGCACGGAGGGGCAAATACTCATATCTGATCACGACTCCAAGAGGAAGATCGATACGAAGACATGCTGACCACATACGCTCAAGAGTGCCATCACCGCAGCAACATTCACCCCCTGTGGACATTGTACCGTCACCATCTCCATCTGTACACCTTTCATCAACCATGCCTACATCAACTATTCCTCTCCAGTCATCACCATTACCACAGTCTTCATTAATCACTCCTATTCAATCATCGCTATCATCATCTCTCGATTGGGCAACACCCACCACAGCATCACCGTCACCAACTCTACGCCCGCGCAGAGGCTGTTGTCAAGGACGACCTGCGGCTGCATCTACCATAGAACCTGCACCAACTGTACCAGCCCTACAATCTACATCAGCTGAACCAGTGCTACCTCTGCGCCGCAGCCAACGTACTGTGCGACCTCCTCGAAGACTAATTACCGAGATGTGAGGGGGGACGAATGTTATAATAACTCTTT